AAATTACGAGGCGAAGTTCACGTGTGATTCTATTAAAATGGCCGTGATCAAGAACCGCTGGCTCGCTCAAAGACTTGGAGGCGATATGTACAGTGTGGCGTTCAAATACGAGCAGGGAAATATTAATACAGTTTAGAATGAAGGTGGGTTGTTATATGGGATGCTTGTCTGGTTTGAGAGGGTTACTTATGATCATGATGATGACTAGAAGAGTGATGATGACAATGGTGATGACAAAATCGGTGATGTCAAAGATGGTGGGTATGGTGATAACGATGTTGATGATGAAGACGATGACGAAGATGATGACGATGATGATAGTGACAAGGATGATGATAATGATGATGATGATGACATGATCACGTTATAGTAAAGGCGTGACAATGATGACGATTATGTCAATGATAGAGCCAATGATGCAAAAGGTGACGTCATTAAAAATGACGTCATGATGACGGTACCGGCTTCCCTACTGACATTTTATGATTACAATAATGATAATAATAATGATTTCATGCTTAAAAAAATAGACGAGCAACCAGGGTTGACATATTAAAACAATTAAAACGTTCTCTGGCTGAAAATTTTAAGTTAAAATAAGCTTTCGGCTGCCAACCTACAGCCTACAGCCTTTGATTACAATAATGCTGAATGAGAACTGTGGTTTTGAAGGAAATAATTGAACACTGCATTACTCGTACATTCTTCAATACGTTATATAACAATTATGGAACTTGTAAAATATTGGAAAATGGCTTGCAGATTATTTACTTCCTCAATAAGGAAAAACTTTAGCCTTTAATAACGACTGTATTTATGTAAGGTACGAATTTTAAAAAATGAATTTTAAAAAGCATTTTGTGGTGTGCAAAATACAGAATCTGTCATAAACCATCTGTCGTACCGGCGTAGAGCGATATGTAGCTCAGCGTAGAGTACCACACCAGCCCATGGGGGGAGGGGGAGGGTGGATTGTGTGGAATGTTTGCATGAGGGGTAATCCGTGCAAGTAGAGTTTGCAATATGGATGCCATTCTCAGAATGCAACTTGCGTGGTTGAATAGGCGATAATTAGTTTGAATGCAATAATTAGAGATATCTCCGGAATGGAAGAACATGATATGTGTATGTAGAAGATCTCTTAGCTTTGCAGAATAGGATAAGGCGGTGTCCGGTTGCATTAAATTAAAAACATCAGCTAATCTTTTGAAAAGCATTTCTGTACATAGTGTACTAGCTCAATATACAATGAACTGAAAGACTGAGCCCTCTAAGGACTCTATATTCATGACATTATACCCAATTGCGTGACACGTTGCGTGATGTGACGATATATCGTGATCACTGTAAGCTATCACTCACTCATCATTCAGTGCTGCCTGTTATCACGAACGTTTCTCGGACAAAGAACGTTTGTATTGTTTTGACTGGCGTCTTATCTACTAATCTAGTACGTTGTAAAATGGCTGTTTCCAAATCCAACCCGGGACTTTGTAGCTCGCTAAATTTCGTAAGCTTGGTTATCTCCACTGTCACTCTATTACTACTTCTAGCAGGGTTTGTAAGAATCGAATTCAAACTGAACGATCAAGACGCAAAACTTGCTGCTGTTGAGCGACTCTGCACGGCTCGAACACAAGACGTGTCGCAAGAAGATGACATAGCTGATGTTAAGGGTAAGACAGATGACTTGTGTGTGGTTTGGCTGTGCAGCCTCCTCAAAAATTCTCTTTAATATCGGGAGAGATAAAGCCTAGAATTACTGCGAAGTGAGTCGAAGAATACTCCTAGAGGGAACTTTTATACTTCTGGCAGCCGGTTTTCCTCTTAGGGTCAGACGAGAACACGAACGCTAAAGGGCGATATGAACGAAAAAGATCTCGTCTCAATCTCTCTTGGCTGAAACGTCTCCCCTTATAATCTGCCTGATATCGAGAGGAAAACAGACTGCCAGAAGTCAATAGAAATGTCTATTGTTATCCCAGTCGATAGTTTGCAAAACAGTTTCGAGTTAGGGTGCGGGATATCGCGGGATAAGCGTTATTTATGCTCGTTCCAGACTCTCCGCGCCCCGCATGAAGAACTCGCCAGTGGAGACAACAAATTGAACTTGACAACATATTTTTGTGCAGGTGACTTGGATTATCACACGGCAAATAATTGTACTTTGTTGGTGCACAAGGAAAGACTGTAGGATTTGTTCAAATTTTGCCATCGGGCCGGGCGTATTTGTTCTGTGTACCTTATTACATGAGATTTTCGAGACGCGTTTATTTCGCGATTTTCGGGTGCGCATATTTCGCGACACTTAAATTCCGCGATTTTGCGAAATTTTCTATTTTGAACCACTTTAACGTCGCGTTTTTGAGTAACACGCAATTAAATTCCTCGGCAATGTTACTGACGTTACTTAAACATGTCCTTGAATTTAGTAAACCGACTTTATCAAAAGTACAATGACGTCAAAAGTAACAAAAACGCAACGGCTGAACTATATGTCAACAGTAACATAATGTGAGTCACATAATGTGAATTTTCGCCTCGTGTTCATGTTATGTTCGCTACACTTATTGTTTGCGCCACTTCCATTAATTTCGGGATTTTTTTTTTAAATCGCGAAAGTCGCGAAATTAACGTGTTTCGAAAAATTTACGTAATAAGGTAAACAAATCCGGCCCGCCTAACTGGTTAAGCTTGTTGCGCAATCAGACCTAATAGGAGCGCGAAAACTGTAAACTACAGTTTTACGCTCCACTCATTTTGTATCTTGAAGTTTGTGCGCGCTAAAAAGAGAAAGAGCAAATCCTAATCAAAAGGAGCTAAGTAGTCTCATGCGCAACCGTCACGCAGCGCGACTCCACTGGTAGGTGACGAGCGTTGCGTGACAACACAAATGTGGACGATAGAACAAACAACAGAAACAATGCCCCCTAGTCCCAAAACAATAACAGCTGCTGCAATGACGACAAATAGGATTACAAGCTTACGAGAGCTGCTACGCTACTGTGTGGCTGTGTCGGAGATGCTCGCAGTGCACTAAGTATTGAGGAGCGTCAGCGTTTTATGAACATCATGATCTTTTATTTCAAGGAAAGTCCAGTGAAACCATTAACAGAGCACGTCGTTCTGGAACTGGGCTTGCAACAAAGAGCAGTAACCAACAAACCAACGAACTGACTGAAATAAAAAACGAGATCAAGAAAAATTTGGAGAAGATGAGGGAAGAGAATACACGCGTTTGCAGTTCACCTCTTGGCTCGGTAAGCAACCCTGATGCTGCGTTTATTTTGGTCCCGATCTCAATTAGTTTTTCTATTTCTCTAAAATTGCCCCTGAAACGCAAAATACTCTCAAAGGAGCTACGTCACGGTTTGCTCATCTTGGAAAGTTAAGCTGGAATTTTTCAAATTCGTTAATTGTACTCCGTAATCTTCTCCATCCTTAACCATCCTTGTTTCTTTATGGTTTATTATTATTTCTTTAGTATTTTTCTATCTCAGTAAACTATTATTTTCAGGTTTCCTTCAATGTAAAGGTAATTTTGTGCGTGGAGAAAATAACTCAAAATACTGTGACTGAGCTCCTTTAAACATCTTGGCTATCTTGACAGCTCGCTGGTATTCATCCTTGCTGATGTCATTGGTTAAATTTTGCCTCATTTGCATACGTAAGCTAGACACAAATTGGTTCCAAACAGTGACAGAGCTCGCGAAACTTAGTAACGGGTGAAGTGTTTTGCCCTTTGGGTGTAACATTATGGGAGATATTGGCCTTTAAAAACTGCACAATTTTTCTGGGTGGAAAAAGCGTCAATGAAGCTACATGTTCCTTGAAAGTTTTTCCAACCGGTCTTAAACCCGCGCCGCGAACTAAGTATTGAACTTGCGTTGCGCTCAAATTTCTTGGGACAGTAAATCGTACCATGCCCTTTCAATAATCAGCGTTGATATTTTTTTTGTAGCCTATCAGAGAGTCAAACGCTCATGCAAAAGAAACAACTATTGTAAACAAAGATTCATCAATTTTCCTGGTTTGAGAGAGACAGGGTGCGAGTAAACTGTGTTGGCTAAGAACACGACAAAATAATCCAAAATTTAGTGATGGTGTTTGTTTGCATCGATATTCTAGATGTGTCTTCGTGGTCCTCCTGGGGAACCAGGCTTAAAGGGGGAAAAAGGAGACATGGGAAACAGCGGGGCCTCTGGGGTCCCAGGCTCTAAAGGTCAGAAAGGCGAAAGAGGAGCCCAGGGAACTCCAGGGATACCCGGTCAGTCGAAGACGCCTGATGACCCCCGGCGCGGGTCCCCGCAGGTCATTGTGTCTCCATCAATTTTAACAGTGAATGAAAACCAGACAGCTAGGTTTCACTGCACAGCGACTGGTAAGCACACTTTAAGTTTCCCATAATATCTGATAAATAAATTTAATTGCTGTATGATTGACGATTGGAGTCTTACACCAAAGTTGACGTTCGTTGTATTTTTCGACCGGCGAAGAGTGAAACAATAGCAAATGGAACAATAAAGATCTCTAGTTTAGTTATAGTTTAGTTATAGTAATCTCCAGTGCTCTGAGACTGGGAAGGATGAACTATAACGAACACAGTGCGCACGCACTTTCCTCTTGGGTGCATTCGTTCCAAGAATCCGAGTTTATCCAAGACTGCGTCTGAAAACGTGATTGTGTTTTGACGGTCACGGCTGAACAGAGAAGTATTTAGACGAAATCCAATAGGAAATCGAGCAATTTCAGTTTTTAATGGACAAAAACCTTGTACCAGAATAACTTTAAGTATATTACAGTCCTTTTTGCATTTCTGAAAGTTAAAGATATATAAACAGTTTCCTGAGATAACACCAAAAACAATTTCCCGTGGGAAGTCGAGAATGCTGATAAATTTCAAAGTTCACAGAAATTGCGCAAATACAGATACAATTTCATTTCACTTTTATTTCACCAGTACTTTCAAGTGTTTAATATGAACTTCAAAATTTATTTTCGACATCTGGTGTTGTTAGCAATGATTTCTTTTGAGAAGATATTTGATAGAAGTCGCCCAGAAGTTTGCAATACAATGTAAATAACATCGTTACAAAGTTTTTGTCCGCTTGTTTAGTTACCCGAACTTGTGGTGGATTTATCCTTAAAATCTTGTCAACTAATGTATTACTTTGACGTTTGAAACACAGGTGAGCCGAAACCTAATCTAGTGTGGCGTAAAGACGGAGAGATTCTAAGAAGCGGATACAAATATCGTGTGCTAAAAGATGGAGAGCTCACTGTCAAGCATGCCCAGTACAATGACAGTGGAGCTTACGAGTGTGTCGCGCGAACAAACTTGGCCCGAGTCGAGGCCTTCACGGAACTTGTGGTCAGAGGTGAGTTTTAAGAGAATGCCAGGGAGAAAGTTGTTCCATTCGCGGACATGATTCGATGCGTCACGTTATGGCTAGAAATATTGTGTGACAACTAGTGTGACGACCACTGGGTCTCCATAAAATGATGACATAGGGCGTGTCGGTTTGGTTAGCGTTGAATGTTCTATTAAAAAAAAAGTGTTTCGGGTGGTTTGTTTGATCATATATTACAACCAGCATCAAAGTTGATTGAAATGGTTAATTTAGAGAAAGTTTCCAAACACTCATCCGTTTCCATATAAAACTGTGGATCCATATTTAACGATAGCTTTATCCCGCAATGAAGCCGAAAGCAGTTTTTCCCAGTACGTAGGACACAAAAAAATCCCAATCAACTCACAACAAGCTGTAACTGTTTGATCTTAACAGAACATAAACTAACAGTTATCCGCCGATTGGTAATCAACCAAAAAAACACTTGAATTGGACACTTGTATTTGTATTTGTATTTTTTCATTTCTCCACTTGACGACATAAATTCAATATTGTTAACAAATAAGTGCAGTGAAAAAGAATTTCAAAGAGCAAAATAAAGTAAACTAATTAAATTCCCTTTAATTAATTGAACACATTTATTGTAGGATAAAAAGAAAACTAGTATAAGAGAGGAGAGAGTAAACACATAGTAAATAAATATATAATTTTAGAATTATTACTACCTAGCAAAATGAAACTGGCCGGGGAAAGTGCTTTTTTAAACAGTTTTCTAGTTGGCTTATTCCGTAGAGACAAAGGAATGTCATTCCAATAATAGCATTCAATAATAGTAGACCAAAATTTTCTTATATTTACTCTAAAGGATTTTTGATACAGATGTTGTAAGGACGCACTTCGAGTAGCGTAAATATGTTGCTCAGATACTAGAGACAGAATGAGATTCAAAGACTTTTTATCATTGGGTGGTCATAAAATAGTTGGCACATGTATAATTTAACAATGTCAGGAACACTTCAACTAAATCAGTTAAAATGTATGACGTGACTTTGGTTTTCTTGCTACGAAATGTTGGACAGTGTACAGTTTTGTTCATGATGCTCCTTTGTAACTTCCTCTATAGCGACTCCTCGGATCAAGCCGTTATCTCAGCGGCCGATATACGTGTTAGAGGGAAACGACTTCACATTCCCATCGTGCATTGCGACGGGGTTTCCTTCACCGACTATCACGTGGTCTCGAGTGTTCCCAAGTCTCCCAGAGGAACGAAGCTTTTCAAGGACAGGAAATTTCACCATCGTTAACATCACCGCGGGTGATTCTGGGGTATACATGTGCAAGGCGACGAATTTCATTGGCAGCGCTCGAGAGATGATGCAGCTTGTTGTTCTGACAATGCCGCAATTTACTGTGAAACCGCCAAAGAATCATGTCGTAACCTCAGGCGACATACTCACTGTCAACTGCAGTGCAAAGGGAGACGGAACGCTGTTTGTCGCGTGGAGCCGCGAGTACGCAAAGCTTCCCGATCGGAGAGCGACTGTGCGCAAAGATGGAGCCTTGGTGATCACTCAAGTGGTCCCAAGGGATGCTGGGAAGTATGTTTGTACCGCGAGTAGCGTGGGTGGCGCCATACAGATAACCGCTGACATGAACCTTGCTGTAATTCAGAGTAAGTGGAAAATTCAATTTCTATTTTTATTTCCTTAAGTTGTAACCACGTGACTTCCTTAGTGTGAATTAATTGTCGAGTTAAAATTGGAATAATTTGAAATCACAAAATTTGCATGCCTCTGCTATCACGCAAAGTAACGCTGGCACTATTTTTGGAAGACGTTATTTGCCACAAACTACATTTCCTCTTGTGTTTCTAGTGTTTTATTGACCGCTAATAACGTTTGCAATGGAATACCGTGGTAGTTTCCTTGACTCAACTTAGCATGTCAGCCTAGACCAAATCTTCGCTGTGTAATCGTTGTTTTACGTATAAACGATAGTGACCAATGTTTCTGAGTAGCTTGTGTAAAACAATTAAATAATAGCTCTGTCATAGTTCTACCAATCTAAACATACAACATCTTTCTTTCCAACGGTGTTTTCGAATCTAAATTTGTGAACTATGTTTTTTTTTTGTGCGTGATTCTCAGAGGGCTTGAAAGAAGGCATTTGTCCCATACCCCTCCCGATTGATGCCTGTGAAGAGGAGACTAATGACGAATGTACTTTGGACTCTGATTGTTTTGGTGACATGAAGTGCTGTTCTGATTCCTGTCAGAAGTTGTGTGTTCAACCACCACAAAGTAAGACGTACTCTTTCACATTTTTACCCTGTTAAGTTTCCACGTCAAAAATCGGTCAAGAATTCTGAGCCAGCGAGTTGTATGAAACATCATGCTCAATAGCCTGACATGGACCTGTGACAACAAGGTCACGCGATATATCTCGTAGCGCTTGCAAGCATTGGAAATAAGAATTGAAATCGCTTCGAATTCGGTTACTTCCGCGCGGTAACAGTCATGCTGTAAGAAACGACAGATAGTCCGATGATTGGAAATATAAATCTGAAAATTAATAGAAATTAAAAATACATCATTGTCAGATTTACAGGATCACAATTTCGTGTTACAGGCGAAGAC